ACATCTGGTGGTCAGACTCGGTTTCTCCAGCCTATCTAACGAAACGTGCGACACAGAGGATGGTTTGAAAAAGTTTTTAATCTGTGCCAACTCGTTGCACACACACACACACACACACACACACACACACACACCTTTTTTTCACCCTTGAAGGGCACTTCGGAAAGGGGATGCCATTTGTAGGGACGTTCCCAACGAAACTGAACAACAGCTGAATCTCTTCATGAAGGGCCCTTCCAGAAATCCGTTAGTGAAGGGAGAATGCGATGGTCCAGGGGTTCAGTTCAGACCTAGAGAGCCACAGTCTTGCAGAGTTCAGCTCCAACCCTGAAAAACCCTCACCTGCTTAAAGCTTTAGCAGACATTGTCTTACTATCGGGAGATGAGAGGGTCTGTATTACTTACTATTGGAGAAAACACAACGGTCAACTTGGATCATGTGTGCCTTAATAACCAATCACGTTACAGCCTTGAAGTCATTGAAGTTCAGTCAGAGTTGTACGACACTCAGTCGCTGTTTACGGATCCAGGAATGAAGGAGAATGCCGTAAGCTGAATCCCACCTGTCGCAGAAAGTCAGTGACTTCTCTTATAAAACGGCATTTTTTTTTTCAGTGTAAACTCAAAAAATAGTTCAATCCAAAAGTATTGTTTAGTGTAAAACATGTTGCAGATTAGCTGATAGGCTGTCGATTCATTAAATGATGAGCTGTTTCCTCTAAGAAGCTGTTTATTCAGCGTTGTGAAGCCTCTCCTCCATTGACATCCGTAAAAAAAAGGCCTCTGGCCTCTTTTCTGTTAGCATTAGCCATTACTCTTTTTTGGCTAAAGGTTGCAGACTTGCCATCTAGTGGCTTTGACAGGTAGCTATTCCATCACAACACTCAATTACTGTAACAAATTATTGCTCATTGTTAGTTAATATATTAAATATAGTTAACAAATGGAACCTTGCTGTAAGTGTTACTGTTTATTGTATATGCTAAGAGATCTATAAACTGAAGTAAATAACTTTTCTCTTTATGCAGAGTAAAATTACTCAATTTTGTACAGCTTGATTCACAACAGTTAGTGCTTTATAATGTCATTCTGAGAATTGCTTAAGATAATTTGTTGGTAATATACTGTGTATTACTGTAAAACATTGGTGTATATGAAATCCACATAAAGTGGTTTAAAATAATTTGGACAATTATTTAATTAAATGTTTTGTTGCATTTTATTTTTCAATGTTATTTTGCACAATACAGAGACAAGAGACACTCTTGTCAGAAACAAAATATACTAAATCAAATACATGTAACTTCTCCTTCAAGCAAGGGTGACCACAAAAAAACTAGTAGTCAAACTTATATATCACAAAAAATTAATTTATTCATACAAATAAAAAAATATAACAAAATAAATGCAAACAAAATACATCATATAACAGAAATAAATTTCCCCCTAAAAAAAAAAGGATATTAATAGCCAGCCAACCCTCTATAAACATCAATACAATCCAAGCTTCTCTGCACAAAGTAATCCAAAAAAAGAAATTACATAAACACCCTTCAACTCCTACTACATGCAAGACACACCTCACTCAAAAGAAGTACTCCAAATCAAGTGTTAATTTCACTGCAAACATAACCCTCATGCAAATAAATAATTCACGTGTTTCAAAGCATCAACATGTATAAAGGGTACAAAGGTTGGCTGGCAACACGAGGCTGGGAAGTGATGTAAAAAAAAAAAAAAAAGGAAAACAAACAAACAAGTAAAAAAATTAAAACACTCTGCAAATCTTAATTACGCTGGAGGCATACAGCGCGCACATAAGGACCGGCTAGCTGAGGAAATGCAGCATAACAAACACTGGAGGAACAGCGATCAACTCAACCCAATACAAAAAAACTAATAAACACAATTAACAATTATTTAAAGGAAAATGACCCCAATGCTTAATTTTTATTTTAATACCATTAAAATAAACACAAAACACTTACAAATCCTATATAAAAACCTCTGCAATTACCTGCAACACCGCCATCAATCCCGAACTACTTTCCAAAGGTTTTCCAGATCAAAGAAGAATGAGCGTGACCAACGGCAAACAAATGTTTGCATCTACCTTAAAAACATAATACCCTTCTTTAATAAAACAAGGCTTTGTTAGCAAAACAACCAATGTTCGTTTAGCCTACCTGCTCACCTGGACCATGTGCACAATCAAACACATAGACAGCTCGATATGTATCTGCATTAAAAACACAATAACCTAATTTAATAAAAAGTAGTGATGTTACGTTCAACACCGAAACTTCAAAGCTTGTATCAAAAAAAGCCAACACATTTCACATTGAAGCACTGTATCGGAGCTTGATTCGTTTTGAGAAAAGCACGTGATCTGTGACGTCCGAAGCTTCATTCGCGTGAAAACCACGTGACTGCTTCAGTATCTGGTTCAAACGAAGCTAACCTCAACGCCGTCTCCTTTACATTATGTGTTAGCATTGTTTTTTTTGTGCAAGTACATCAACACAAATGAATGACTTTGACAATAAACATTATTTATATAAAATATAATAAAACAAAAAATCAGTTGTAGAACCAGATGTGAAACGACTGGCTGTAATGGAACGTAACACTTTGGAAGGTGTTATTTATTTTTATGACCACTAGATGGCCACAGCATAAACCGTTTTAAAAAACTTCGAGTAATGAACCTTTTTCCGATACAACTGTGATGAAAGCTTCACTGGTTCAGAACGCTTCACTTCGCCATCACTAATAAAAACAATCGATATTCACTTAGCCTACCTGCTCACCCAGACCATGTCCATGCACAAACTAACAGGGAAGTGCTACCAGACAGCACGCGTCCACACAAAAAGATCGGACATCGTCTCCAGGCCTCCTTTCAGATGCCTGCTTAACTCAAACCACCTGCCTGGCCACGCCCTCTACTACTAGCCACCTCCCCGGCTACATACATATAAACATTACATTAAAAACATTAAAATACATAAAAAATGCAACCAAGCTGGATGGTAAGTAAAACAGCATGCATGTTATGTAATATATGCTCTTTTAATACATAAAAGCCTCATCTGCACACACAGCATACTTTTTAAACTTCATCATTGTTAGTCAGCGCTAGAAACATGTCAATGTGGTTTGGTTTGATGCATTCTAAGGTTATAGAAAGGAAGACATGACCACAACTGCAAAGGAAGATGATTGGTTAAGAGTGGTAACCAAGTTTAGAAATGAACATCAGAGAGTCAAATACACACTGTGCAAACAAGTAGCCTACCATTTTTGCAATGTTTAGTTTAAAATTTGCAATGAGACAAAATAACTTTGATTGCCTTTATTATGAACAGAGGAGTGAAATTTGATTCTGTACTTTAATTCCATCAGTCAGTTCACTGTTGGCCTATTTGTCAGACTGAAAGTAGCTCGCAGGCATGTGCACACCAGACCACAAATGAGGTCTTTGACATTTCTGTTGTCCATCAGCTGACAATATCTCTTAAACTGCTGCATCTTTTTTTTTTATTCTTCACACTTAAACTATTAAATTCGTCCTGATCTACAGCATCTTAAATATAACCATGATATTCACACTAAATTAATTAAAGAATTATGTTCATCCTGATCTCATGACAAAAATGTATCCTACCTGTGGGAACTTTTTCACAAGATGCGAAAATACGTAGCACCATGTACGTTTTGTGACATATTGTCCACTGAATGGCGCTAAAAGAGTGTTCATTTTTTCCCCCCGGAACAGATGAACGGACATTTCAAGTCAGAACTGTGGTGACACGTTTTATGTGACGTTGGTTTTGTACGTGTCACCCCAGTTCTGACTTGAAATGTCCGTTGAGTGGCACTATAACTCTAATGCTCCGTAATGTTTTAAAATAACGTACCATTTGCACTACACTTAATCCTACCCGATAGTATGAACAAAAGCGAATGTGACGTAAAAACGCAACCGCAAGCATGCCATTTTAGCCTGTTTTTCTTATCTTTCAGCTCTTTCATCGTGAGTGATGTTTTTCACAGAATTCGTACCAAAGGATTCGGCATCCTAAATTCAATTCCGTGCCGGCTGAGCTACCAAGCAAGCTTGTTACATTAGGTGTTGTGCCTATTTTTGACCCCCTGCTAAATTATTACCCCCTCTCGTTGAAATGGCTACATGATTGCCTAATCCTAACCCCACCCCCACACCTAACCCTAAACCTACCAATAGGGGGGTAGTAATCTGGCAGGGGTCAGAATTCGGCACAACACCGGAAAGCAAAACATATGGAGCTGCAATCGTAACTGTGTACGAAAACGATTAAGTGCTCGCTGTTTTACCGCTTCTAGTGTTCATTTCTGTTGGAAACTGCACTGATATGTACTTATTGGTACGTATTTCGCGTCTTGCGAAAAAGTTCCCACAGTTACGTTTTCGTCATTAGATCAGGTAGATTATGTTTCTCTCTCTCTGAACTGAAAGAAGGATAAGAAAAAAATGAAAATGAGAAACTCAAATATGAAGCAATAAACCATTTGAAAGCTTTGCCAATCCAAATAGAGAGATAAACTTCATATCGCAGACATTTAGTGGAGTAACTTGGTGGATTGATAGTCAGGGTTGATAAGCGTCCGTACACTGGGCTGGGCGTCCAAATTGCTCCGTTTCATCTCTTCGTAAACTGAGTCTGAGGGTGGATTTGATGGTCTGTATTTCTTGTTCACCCAACACCCCTTCACCAGAGAATGACAAAAAGAAGTGACTCAAAAAAATCAAATATTCTTCAGCTTCCAAAATTACTATGAGTAAACAATGTTCCAGGGGTGCTGTAAAGGGGGTTAAATGGGGAGTGAGTCTAGGGACACCAGGAACAAGGTTTAGAGCCAGTGAGAAGATCAAAATAACATTTTATTTGGAAGAGAGACACAGAGGAACGGGGCACTCGTCAAGCTTGTTCACAAGAATCTTGCTTGTGGTGCATGACTGCTAGTGGCGCATACTGCGAAATCTGTCAATGACCAGTCAGACATACTGCAACAGCTATTTTTGTGGTTAGATAAAAAATTGGTTGTTATTCGATGGGTTGCTGAATTTTTTGAGCTCTATGACTTCTGTTTCTCAAACAAAAACCTATATACATTTTTTGGCTATAGAATGTGAGCTGTGCATTATGTTGATTATGTCAACCGTTAAGTGGTTCCGCTATTAAAAGACATCTGTAGTGCTTTTTGCATCTCGGTCAGTGTGAGGGTATAGATTTTCTGAGTGTGTAATGCTGATATACTCTCAACAAGACGCAACAAATGCATTTATTTATGCATTTATTATTTTCACTTCAGGATTCAGGAAGCCAAAATTAACTAAAGGCTTATGTCATGATCTATTATGAGTGGTTCATCTATTTATTTGCACGTTTTGCTTAATGTCAAAAACAATTAATAGTTTGAGAACAAACTACAGGGCCTCTTGACTTTTGAGCACCATTTCAAAAGTATCCAGTGGTCCGTAAACACGACATAACTAATTTTACATGTAAAGCTTTAACTTATTTGGACAAACACGAGCGTTTGGAACATCCCAGAAAAAACATCCCAGAGTGTAGGAATGGCAAAACAATTAGACAGCAACAGATTTTCAACAACAAATCAAACCACAAAAACTATCAAAAGAAGCTACCATTTGCACATTGCATGTTTACACATAACAGCATACATCTGTAATACATGTCAGATGCATAACGTTGTTTATAAGTTTAGTTTTTATTTTTGATTTGTGCTTTTCAATACTGATTTTTGTGTATGTATGTATGCTTACCTTCAGAATCACAAAGATGAAACCAGCGATGCACAGTAGCAACATGACAGCACACACAATGAGAAAGATCTTCACATGATGATGAATATCTTCTGAGCACACTTTTTCATCATCTTTTCCTTCTGCTTCTCCTTTTCTTATTACTTCTCCTGTTTTATTTGTTTTTTTATCTAATGATTCTTCTATGATAGAATATAAAATGAAGGTCAGAGAATTAGAGCTATCATCTATGCTGTTTTTCATTCAATATTAATTAGAAAATGACTGTACTTCTCAATCTCTGCATCTGAATAGAAGTTTCCCATTAACATAGTTTACATACTAAATACACAACTACATGTTTTACATGCATATAGACAACAATAAACTCATCATGTTTGATAATACATTTATTTACATGAAGTGTAAGACACACTTACCTATCCATAACCATGTGACTTTGCCAACTGATATATTGTCTTCCAAATTAAATTCACACCAGTAAAACCCAATGTCTGTGGCATTTACATTTAAGATGGTGACATTAAAGTTGGGAAATGTTCCATTTACTTTGACTTTGTCCCTACACCATTCTGATATAGGTCTAAAAGTTCCATCTTTGTAATAGTAGAAAACTTTCTGCTCATTTTTACTTGCTCCTACTAGTTTGTACAGGTACACCCCATCTTGAGGGGTTTTATCAGCAGCGCACTGGATGATGATCTTATTCCCAACAGCTCCAATTAAAGATGTAACTGTGTTTGAGAACAACAACTAATGAGATCTTCATCACTTAAATGCACTGATGAATTTTCAGGCTATTGTGCATCTGAATTAATTTTTGTTGCAAAATGTACAGACATGTGAAAACATACAAATAAAGTATTTTTTATAGCCTTTCATTTACATGAGTGTGCTTAATGGTCTTTTCTTAACTAATGCAACATTTCTATATAACATTTTCTATTGCAGGATCTAGCCTCCATGAATGTAACATTTTTAAAAGTTGAAATGGAAAGCAAAATATGCATATACATATTCATACCTTGCAGCATTGAGTCTGCCCATGAAGTGCTTCTTAAAAAGATACCGATCAATAGAAAACTGTATCTCACAACACTTGCCATCTTCACAACTCTATGTGACTATGACTAGTTTCTGTTGAACAAGGAAGTTGAGAACTCAGGGGTTTTGCATTGTAATTGCAGCATGTTAGCTTGAGCTTGTAATACAGATATATAATATTCTCAAATGACAAAAGAGTTAACAGTTAATGATGATAACATTGATTTTCGGGAAATTTAAATGCTTTTTACAGTCTAATCCTGAATGTTTAAACTATTTCTTTAATTAGGATGTTATGTGTATAGCATATAAAGTTAAGTGGATTGTTGACACAGTTTAAATATTTTAATCTGTCTATTTTTTTTAAAGTATTTATTGTGTGTGCAGTCAAAATATTGGCCTAAAACAAAGATCAGTATTTGCTTTATGTCAAAATGAACAAGAAGTCATCTTAATAAATATGAAAATACAGGTGTAAAGTCAATTGGCTGGTTTGCATGGGGCAGTTAGACCCTACTGATGGATATTATAACTAGACCATTCTAGATAATCTCCTTATAAAATCAACTAGTAGGGGTTAACTGCATTCCTAAAGTCCAACATAAATAGTTTATTATTTAAACATATACTCAGTTATTTTTGTCTTGGTTTCATTTTCAAAGACTAGTAGTTTGCTTTTAGCCTATTTAGTTTCCTTTGTTCTAGTTCCCACAAGTATTTAGTTGTCATGTTGATTTGATAGAGTTAGGCAACAATCAGACAGAATGCTTTTATAAGGTCTGAAAACGGTCTGATTGACTTTTTTTTAATTTAGAAAAGAGTAATGTACTGCGGTTTTTTATGTTGCTAGGCAAACACCAAATCAGCTGTCCTGTCAGTCTAATCAAGGCTTATTGCGTGCGTTCTCTAAAATCTCTGATTTGCTTTTAAACTTTAAAAAAGACATGTAACCCAGACTCAAATTAGTTAATTTGCAGTCTAAGGAAATAATCATTTTACTACATTTACCTATGTAGTGAATCTGGTATATATATATAATGAAAGAAAGAAAAATTGAGAGAAAATATAACAAAATATATACAAATTACTGCAGTAAAATTCATCCAATTATAGTTGGAATCAGGTTTAAATCAGTGCTGCGTTCAGCCCCGACAAAACGGTGCAAAACGTTTTTTAAACG